ATATAATATAATATAATATAATAAAACCAGACATCGGGTGGGTGGACATAATGCTATGGTTAGTTGTGTGAATTGCTGGTTTGAAACATAAAAATAAGAGTAAATTTTGTTTGGCAGAGTAAAAATAGAGAAAAACCAAAGGATGAAAGGTTCATGCTCAAAGGGTCATGCTGAGATTACTGATTGCTCTCTTGGGAGGTAGATGTTAAGTGGGGGAGAAGATGTAGGCAGATGGAACTGAGCAGGATGGATGTTCTTCATTGTTTCTTCTGGTTTGTCTTTCTGTGGAACTGAAAATAGATTCCACTCATGCACTGACTCACAATTCCCTTTGACACATTGGATGGATACTGATATTTACTCACGTTCACAATCAGTGCTTTAGTCTTTCATCTACAGCCACAGGTTATGACCGTTGTGCATTGTGGTAGTTTTTATTGCAGTATTTTTATAAGCATTTTGGACATAATATTATTGACTGATGTAAAAAAATAATCAAGATAGAGATAGGTAGCAAAAGGCTAGCTAAAACTAGCAAAATGCTAACTTAAAAGGAAAAGTAGCAAAAGGTCATGAAGAAATTTAAAGTTATTAGAGGTTAGTACTGATGTTAAAATCACAACACTATATTTTAGGTTTCCTTTTTGTAATGTTGACAGTGTTTAATYTATTATGTTTTGATTGATATAGATTAGTTACATGTCCGAAATAGGTGACAACACATAATCAACCATTATGATAACAGTAGATGAGGATTTTGTCTGAACGCCTGTGATTCAGCCGTAGGTCAGTAGGGGGCGAACACAGGCACTGAAGAAGGTGTATAAATACGTGAACTTCCTGGTTTTCCAGTAGTGTTGGTTTCCTGTCAGCCTGAGTGACATTGAACCTCACTCGATCCAGAATTCTAGTGTTGTATGGTTTGATTCCTTCTACAAATCAATTTATTTAACAATGGTTTTAATATCGACTTCAGTTTATTGAACGCAAATTTTCTTACAGTTAGCTAAAACTAGCAAAATGCTAACTTAAAAGGGAAAGTAGCAAAAGKCTAGCTAAAAAGGAAAACAAGCAAAATATTTGCTAGTAGTGAAAAGTAGCATATGGTTAGCTAAAGGTTAATAGCAACCGAATGGTAGCTAAAAGTCAAATGTAGAAAAATTGTAGCTAAAAACTAGCCGAACAGTAATTAAAAGCATAAAGTAGCAGAATGCTAGCCAGAAGTTAAAATTAGCCCGAGAAGTTACGACTGAAGCTGATTTTAAAGAAATGAAAAAAGCTTGTCGGAACACATTTGTATTTAAATATTTTTAAAAGTTTAAGTTACAAAAGAAAAAAGTATTAGCACACGTCTCTTGAGTGAGCTGGAGGTTTTGATGTAAATCTACATTTTGCTGAATCAGCGTTTACACAATAATCTAGTTGCTTTCTTTGAGTTTAAATCTCGTCAGTTCTGTAGATCCACTTAGGTCATTGTATTTTTTTCTAATTTGCAGGTCAGATGTTGTGCACTGACTCATTTTTTGCTGAGTGTCCTTTATGCAGAAGTGCAACTGAACTGCAGAATGTGTGTGTGTGTGTGTGTGTGTGTGTGTGTGTGTGTGTGNGTGTGTGTGTGTGTGTGTGTGTGTGTGTGTGTGTGTGTGTGTGTGTGTGTGTGTTAAAGTAGATTATGTGTTCCAGCGAATACAGTCTCTGAGAGCAGCTGGGCAGGGCTAATGGCCCAATGACATCATCTGCAGAGCAGGAGAGACAGGAGAGACAGAAGCTCACGAGCGATGTTGCCTCGGGGAGGGAGACAGAGGAAGTGGGCCTGCTCAGATGGAGAGCAGAGCAGCAGGAGATCCGGACAGTCCCTGAACTGTGGAGGACCTGACAGTTCTCAGCTGACTTTACCAAGGATATAGGACGCACTCTCAGAAGATTTTCTTGTTTTGTTCCTTCCTCCTCTTCCATCACACCTCCCCCTCCCCTCCTACCAAGGATATAGGACGCACTCTCAGAAGATTTTCTTGTTTTGTTCCTTCCTCCTCTTCCATCACACCTCCCCCTCCCCTCCTCCCCTCTTCCCCTCCGTCCTCTGTCCATCCTCTGTCCATCCTCTGTCTGTCCAGCTTCAAGCGGCTCCTCCGGGCATGCTCCTTAAGCCAAAGTATGGCCGCTTTCGCAACGAGTCTGTGACCTCCTCTGACGACCTGATGCAGAGCCTAGCCATGAGTGGCAAAGTCGTGGCCACGCCGGTGGTCTCTTCCTCCACCCCGAGCCTTCCTCTGCCTCCTCTGCCTCCTCTGGATCCCGGCACCAGGTCTTCCTCCTCGGCGGGGGCTGCAGCCCTGGCAGAATCCCCCTGCCTCGATGGGGATCAAGACGCCACCACGACCTTCTGCATGCTCATCCCAAAGATGCCCCAGTGGAAGTTCTCCAACTCCCTCCTCAGCAGGAGCCCGTCCAACTCCAGCTCCAGCTCCAGCTCCAGCTCCAGCAAGGACTCGGGCAAAGCGTCGGCGGCACTGGCTCCTCCCCAGGCCTCCGCTTCTTCCTCTTCGCCGTCGACCAGGCCCAGTGGGGGGCTCGCCGCCAGCGGGCCCGTCGCCAGCCTCGCAGCCGTGCTGAACTCGTGTGACCCTGTCTGTGTCACCCCCTGTTCTCTGCAGGCCATCCGAGGGCAACGGGCGGTGGCATCTGCGRGCGCCGCCGGCCCGGGAGGTCACGGCGTCAGGGTGGCGGAGGTCACAGGGAGCCCTGGCACCAGATCAGGGATGAATCGCAGGGTGAGGGTGGAAGGCATGTGGCTGGGGGGTGAGGACCTCAACCAGAAGGGCAGCTTCATCCACAAACCCACCCAGGGCTGGCTGCACCCTGACAAGAAAATTGTAGGACAAGGAGCCTCTTACATTGTCAGGGTAAGTCAGAAAGCACTTTTTTTTAGTGCATCAAAATTTACCTTTTTTTTTTTCAAGCAACCACAGAATCACATATTAAGAATGAGCATTTGCTTTCCCTAACTGGGCGGGAAACAGAAAACATCTCACTTGCAGGCAGTTTGTTATGCAGCTCATGAGGCAACGACAAGGGAATACATAATTTAATCCAGATAGATGGCCTGGGAGGCTGCAGCAGGGCTGCACACAGGGTGGAGGATGATAAATGTTCTAACTGTGTGCACAGGCCGTTAAAAGCCTTGTTTTCTTTCCCATCTGCACCATTTTCCTTATACTAAAGATAGACTGCATTGTGTTCGACTGTACTTAAAAACAATAATTAGCTGCATTTGATTCCCGCCTGATTGTGGGAGTGGTTCTCTTTGTGTGCTTTTGAGATTGTTTGTTGTCATGTGTGCAGGGAATTGTGCGGGTTTTCAGCCACAGCTTGAAGTTACAGCCTGTCTGCTGCAGGGGTTGTATAGATGCTGAAAGTTCTTCTGTTTTGTTTCTATCAAAAAGTAAAACTAGTATGGAGAAGATGYAGCTGCCTTTCAAAGAGAGGATTCGAACAGAGCTGAGCTTCCAGGGTAAAGGGTAGGAGGTAACACTGGGGGGCTGGGGGTGGGGGGTAGCATCTAAATCAGACAGCTTGATGTCAGTCACTGATCTCCTCTTAGCAATCCCCCCGTGACTGTTCACCTCTGCTCCACCCCTCCTCCTCCTCCTCCTAAAGCTAATGACATGACTCTTGATTACCAGTCCGGGGGCCCGAGCACATTTTCTAATGGCATTATACAGGCACCATTCATTCCTCTATTCAATTAGGCTTAATCACAGTCATTTGCATCATGTGATGAGGAGGAGGCTCAGTGTGCCAGAGGTCCACATGTTGAGTACAAACGAGGCTTTTTGAGATTCATACCAGGTCTTCCTGTTATCTCAGATTGATGTCTGGTTGGCAGCTTGTTTTTTTGTTGTCTGCATGCTGGGATCCACAGATGACCCGTAAAAGCTGCAGTTTGTGGCCCTCAGAGCTTGTGCATCTCAGCGGTGAATCTATCCCAGAGCGACAGCAGGTTTCTGCTGCAGTGAGCTGTTTTCACACAGCGTTCTGGCTCCCTTTCTTTCTTTTCCTTCTCAGCCGTATCATTTCCCACTCATCCAGTCCTCTGCTGAGAGAGGCATGTCAGGTGAACTGCAGAGGTGTATGGCAACAAAGTACATTTGCAGTACTTAAGTATTTTTTGAGGATCTAATTTTACTTTTTTTTTTCTTAAATCAACTTTTAATTTTCTTTAGTTACATTTAAAATATAAAAAGATACTTCTAATTCTTTACTTTAAAATGTATGCCTTGTTACACGCAACATATTTAAATATGACCAAASTCATCATGAAAGGAGTTGTTTAAGCACTCTAAAAATGAAATATTGAGTTTACTTTACCAAGTTATGTCAACTGGTTCCACTAAACAGAGTTGAGTAAACTGAGGGATTTACACATTTCATTCAAAGTCCACATTTTTAGCTGATAAGAGGATCCATGATTACTTGTAACATTAGACATTAGTTTTGATCTAATACTGTTAGCTCGAGAACTAACAGCGTGTGTATATTACTAATAAATATGTGGTATTAATTTATACACATAACTAATTGGCACTAGCTAACAAGCTATAATGAGGTTCTGCATCCACATTTTCAGTTGCAGGCTGAGTCATTTCTACATTCCCCTCTCTGTCAAGGACCAAGGTGCTCTGGTTTGATCTAAAAGGGTTGATGGTCAGATATTGTCCAAGATAAACCTTCAGGGCAGATATAGCTTGCTCAGCCTTGCACCGGGACAGAAAATGTCATAATTTACCCAGTATGCTTTGTGGCAATAATAAAATGGCGCTGTATGTGTGACAATTATTTTTCAAGTTTGAAAAAAACTAAACAACCTGCATTATTTTTATAGTTTTTTTTTTTTACAGTTAAAACAAATGTCTATCAAATAATGTCTAATGTTACAAGTAATCGTGGATCACTTTAGGGATGCACGGAATTAATACTTGTACTGGCTGATGATATTAATTTCCCAAWTTTTAGTTTTGTGTTTCTGTTTTGGAAGGAAAAATAGTTTTAGTCAAGTGCTAGCCTATTTGTTTGATCGTGATAGTGATATTAACACTGCACAGCCAGGAATAACTGAAGTAGAAAACCGTGTCAGAGATCTGGTCGAGTATTTACGGTATCGAAAACAGACACAAGTGTGTTTGTGGTTATATGTATCTAAATAATTTCTGTGTTTGTGTAATATCAGTAAATATTGTTTATTGACCATAACGCCAATAATTATATCGGTTATCGATATCGGCTGAAATTTTCATACCAGTGCAGCCCTACTTTAAATGTATTTTGTTGTGYACTTGGAGTCTCTATGAGTGAGAGTATCCTGGTCCTGTGTATATATCTTTATACTCTGTTTGGGTCAAAATTTTCAACCTGTTCATTTTTCTCTATTTTTCATGATGTTTTATGAATGACTACGTCAAATTATTTATGACAGAGCTGTCAAATAAAGTTTGGAATTACCAGCTAGAGTTTGGTGGTCTTCATTCTCCTCTGGCTCTGGGTCAGACTCTGGCTCCAATGGACAAGTCTTCTCTTGTTGACATATTTTAATTAATTAAAAAGTTTCTGTGCCGCTGTATAGTCGTAAAACTATCTATCGACTAGAATGGACCACTCTGGATGCYGGAGGGAGACAGGGCGTGAAGCGCCGCATTTGGATTTAAAGAGACAGCCTCKAAACGAGTTGATCTGAGACACACCTCAGAAAAGGGATGAAAGAGGGGCTTGTGGAGTTACAATAAGGAGGAATTCAGACCAAAGCATTGCAGTTCCACTTTATATAGACCCCAAATGAATGATTTAAATAAAAAAGTAGTATTTAAAAACATATGTCTTCTTTTAATGTGTAATCTGCTTTACATTTACTCAACTCAGCGGCGTGGAATTTGTTGACATAACTTTGTTAAATAAATCCAACAATCTGTTTTTTGAGTGTATGTCAAACAAGGCTTCTATGACCAAGTTAAAAAAAAAACAAGATGTCTGTTTTATGATTATTCTGAGGAATGTTTCTTGGAGTGAAGCACTGTCAGTGTAGGATTAAGAAGTTAAAGGCAGAACATCAGATAACAGAAAAGGGGATGCGTTGCATTAGCAGATGAGTGTGTGGCAATAGGAGGTGGAAAAAGAAGAGCAATTTCCGTGATGGAAGACTTCCCYCAAACCTAAATCTTATTAAAAAGCTCATTAATCTCTCATGCTCAGAGGTTGCTTTCTTTGTATCTTTGACCAAACTGTGGGAGGCTGTTTGTTGGACTAAAATGTTTCTTAAAAAGACTAAATACGGCATAAACTCAGTCCTGCTAAAGGTTACAATTKGATGTTTTAGAAAGGTCCAGATAAATGCTGTTTAAAGTGTGTTTTCAGGCATACTGAAAAATGAGACACAGAGGATAAAAACTGGAATTTAAGCATAATTTCTAGCCGTACAGACAGAATGTTCATGAGTTGTTTTCATGGAGTTTGAGCTATTGATTGYGGCAGACAAACAGACAAAATCCAGATTTTAATCACTGCGTTTTGCAGACATGCAACAATCTGAATATTCTCACATTCACCACTTGAAGAAACAAACACACACTCTCTCACACACACACACACAGGATCCCCAGAGGCTTACTGCAGTTTGTCCATAAAGTGCAGCTCAGTGCTGCTAATCTAGTCGAGATGCCATTAGCACCCTGATGTGACAGCCATTAGGCAGCCACTCAGCCAGAATCACACGGTAATGCTCTGTATTTGAACTTGAGTCAGACGCCATGTTTATCAGTCAAATATTAAATATCTTACACTTTAAAAATGTATTTCCTGGAAGAGAAAACACTTCAATAAAACATATCGTTTAGATTATTTTTATTAAACGCAACATACATTATGCTCACAAGTATTTTTTAAAGTTTTTTTGTAGTAAGAATATTTGATTAGGATTCAAAGCATTTATATGGCAGACAAAAATTAAATACCCAGTATTGTTGGAAGGAATTCATATCACTGAGATATGTGAGATATCACAATCATAGTATTATTTGTGTTGTGAATGTCCCATTCAAAAGTAAGAATGTTCTCCAAGTTTTGAATGGGACATTTAGCAATCACAATTTTCCCATTATAATAAATCCCAAATGTCCCATTTTCCTTGTTTGTGAATGGGATATTTGGAAATCTCTAACTCCCCATTTGCCAAATGTATCGTCAGAATGGGGTGTTGGCGATTTCCAAATTCACATTATGAACCTTTTGTTCCTTAACTGGCCAGATTGTTCCCATATGTCCATGGGAATGTCCAATGAGAAACTGAAATAAGGTTTGCTCCAACTGTTGATCAGTTCATCCAATGACTACTTTCTTTAAAGTTTCATTCAAGTTTTGTCCAGTGGTTTAGGGAATATTTTACTAACAGACACATGAACACGTGCACACAAACAAAACCATCATTGTCTGCCTACCAACTTCAGCAGCTGGMAATAAAGAAAGAAACAACAAAAATATTGTGTAATTGCCACCAATATTTTTTTTTGGCTTTTTAACAAAAACAATACAGTTGCATATTGTATTCTTTATAAGAAGAAAATCTGCTCTTTACCTTCTTGCAGTAATAAAACGACTCTCTCTCTCTCTCTCTCTCTCTGTAGTACATGGGTTGCATTGAGGTGCTGAAGTCAATGCGCTCTCTGGACTTTAACACACGGACTCAGGTGACAAGGTAAGCTGGTTAGCATCGTTAGTGACGTTGAGTCAGGAGAATTTGATATAARTGCAGTCTTAATTTACAAAAATAGYAAATACTACAATACATGTACCCTAAGTGTTATTTAGSGCTAGAATGTTGACAAAACTTRTTTCAKTTTCATTTATTTCTTTAAAAGGACAATGTACATTAAAGTGCCTGTGACATGCATAYCCACGAAATACAAAAWGTCAAAGAAAACRTTTTTGTATTTAAGAATCTAATAATCTAAGAATCTAATACAGGATTTTACCCATTATCTGGCATGTTTTCTTTTGAACTTCGCTCAGGCAAAGTGAAAAAGGAAGTGACATCAAAGGGGAACTCTTCAAGGAATAAAACTTTCTGTTGTTTGTTGATTACAATAATATTATCTGAACTCATGACTTTTCCTCATCTCTTTATTAAACTAATTAAAACAATCTAAAGAAACACCAGAATCTTCTCTACAGTCTGTGTTGTCGGCCTGTGCAGCGAYGCTCTGTTCACATGCAGACATTCCCCTTTGACATTACTTCCTGTTGCTTCACATGTGAATATCTCAACAACTGTTCATCGCAGCTGCATGAAATCTTATATCTCTTATATGTTGTCAGTGTTACCTTTCCAAAAATGCATTCATTATTATTACAAAAATTTGATGTCACAGCCACTTTAAATGCACTTGAATTTAACACAAATTTTATCTGTTGTTCTGAGCAGATAAAAGTAATAATAATAATAATAATAATAATAATAATAATAATAATAATAATGTTAGTAGTAGTAGTAATTAAATTGGTAGTTTTGGTTGTAAATGAACAGTTCATAAATAAACTGTCACTTGCAAATTAGTTTATTAGTTTGCCTCATTGATTCTGCAGATACAGAAGTTTCAATCACAGCTTGAGTCAGGGGCCTTTTTCTATAGTCAGCCCAACATTTAGTGTGTCTCACTTAACCACACCTGTCTCTCCTTTGCACGTGTTTTGTCATGTTTTCCTGCTCTACACGTGACGTTGTTGTTGTTGTTATAAAGGCCATCTATGCGATCCTTCGACCTGACAGCGCTCCCCCCCTCCCSTCCCCTTTGTTTCTCACCCTCCTATCTCTCCTCCACCATCGATCGTTGGTAATCTGAGCCCGCCGAGCAGCCGAKGCTTAAGTGCAGGGTGGAGTGGGGTAGGGTGGGGTGGCAGCAGAGATGGAGTGATAGAGTGGGACATTTATAATTGATGATGTTTTCTAATGACAGCTGAAAGCTGCAGTGGTCTTGGTGAACACACCCTGATGAAATATGTTTGTCTGGAACTTCTCGGAGGAGGAGGAGTGTGCAAAACAAAACAAAAGCCGTGCCGAGAACAAGATGGCCGCTTATGATTTTGTTGTAATGCAGCCAATCACAACTCCGATGATTGTTGCTTTAGCTAAACTAAAATGTATTGCAGTTATTAACTTTTTAGTCTTCGCGTGTTTTCGACATTTRATGTTTGTGCTAACAGCATCAACCCTATGTGTCTGAATGCATCTTTAACCTGTCGAGTTTGTGAGACATTCATTGTTTTTAAGCATCACTTCGAGTTTAGTTTTCCAAACAAGAACCGGGCCCAGTTTGCACATGGCCTTAATTACGTCCCAGAAGACAACAAAACARACAACAACTACGCTGTCGTGAGAATTCCAACACTGTCTAGCTCGTGATGTGAAAAAAAGTTGCTGTTTCCCAACAGTTCCTCAGTGTGTTGTTGTTGTTGTTCAGCAGCAGCACTTTGTGATAATCAGTGCAGGGCTTTTAGATACCACGACAGCAAACAAACAACAACAACCCACCTCTGTCTTATTCCTCCTTCCTCTGCTTTTCTCATCTGAACCTGGTGGTGTTTTTCAAAAAATCCCAGAAAAGACTTTTACTTGAGATCAGGCCCAGGATGCTGCTGCTTTTTAAATATTTACAAGCCACTTGATAAGAGCAGCCGACACCTGACTGTTGTCCCTACTGTCCCCTGGCAGAGCGAGGGCCCGCTCCAGCCTCAAATCCACATTTGGTCTCAATTCCACTGCCACACACACACACACACACACACACACACACACAC